GTGGAGTAAATAAGGTGATCAGAAAAGGCTTCATGGCGAGAGTGACATTTGCACACAGACCTCAGTTGTGTGAGGAGCAAAGCACACAGCTATCTGGGGAAGGAATCATCCCAGGCCATGGAAGAGCACATGCCAGGCACAGTCACGTAACCCTGAAGACGGGGGGAGATTTGAGAGGTGTGGGTAAGGGAGCACAGATGGCGTAGGGCTGCGAAGGCCCAAAGGTTGGACTTTGGCATCTGCTGGGCGAAGATGAAAGAATCTGAGCCAGGCCTTGATTTAAAAAAAAAAAAAAAAAAAAAAAAAAAAAATCACTTTGGCTGCTGTGTTGAGCATAGACTGTAGGGGTCCAAGAGCAAAGCCGCGGGACTAGTTGGGAGGCTGGTACAATAGCCTCGTGGCTCAGCCAGCGTGAGGGCCTCAGAAGTGGAAGAGTTTGGAGAAGGCCGACGTGCTCTGGAAGGGGGTTGGGGTGGGCAGCAGCATCTGCCGCTGGGGGGGGGGGGCGCTGCAGTAAGAGTCAAGGATGACTCCTCTAAGTTTCTACCTGGGAGCAGCTCCAGGGATGGCAATGCCATTTACCAAGATGGAGAAGATTATAAGAAAGCATGCTGGGGGAAAGAGGTCCAGAATTGGTGCTCTGAATGTGTTAAGTTTGACACGCCTGTTAGATCCAAGAAGAGCTACCTAACCTGTTGGATGTATTAGTTGAGAGACCCAGGAGAGAGGTCTGGGCTGAAGAGGTTACTTGGGAGACTCTATTGAGTCCTGACACTTCTAGGACACTCTCCATTAGTATAATGGGAATTACTCTAATCAAAAAGTTTTGCAGGAACTCACCTGCTTCACAGAGCAGGATACCCTTGTATATATGCGCTACTGTAATGGTCCCATGCTGAGAGGTATCCTGTAAGCCCTCTCCCCTTGAGGTTTATGCGGTATGACATCTTCCTTGCCCATTTCAGAGGGATTAAATGCCTCCCTCCCTCCCCTACCTTACCATATCCCCAGGAGGCCACCAGTGTGGTTGCCGGCAGAGAATAGCTCAGTTGATGAGAAAAGCCTTCACTCTGGAATAGAAACATCTCTGAGACAGCTTGGCTCCAGGGAACCTCAGAAGAGTAGGGGACACTGATAGGGGAGGGTGAGCGGGCAGGACATTGCCAGTATCAGGCTCCACCTTCCTCTGGAAGTGGGAACACCCAGGGAACACCCACTCTGAGAGGAGGGCAATAAATTGTCTAAACCTGGGGCGGGGGAGGCAGAGGGAGAGGCAGAGGGAGAGGCAGGCAATCTCTCTCAGGCTTTATACTGCTGCAAACGGCAGATGCTTAATTAAAGCATTTGCAATTAGTTTGGCTTGTTCTGTGATTCTTTTCTGCAAACAAATAAGATGGGAGAATATATTCGCCTTTGGCAATCTAGTTCTAAAAAACTTCTCCCGTGATCACGCTTTTGTCCTGTTCAGAAAAGAGCTGAACCGCTATGCACACACAGTAAAATATCTGCTTCACCTCCTTGTTCAAAACAGTATTTTGCCTTCTATTTCCTATGGGAGTGCAATTACCCATTTGCTTTTAAAGCATGAGTATTTATTTTGAATTTAATACAAGTTCTTAATTTGGGTGGCTTATTTTTATTCAATGAAGATAACAGTCTTGTAATTCTTGCTATCCTTCTGATTCAACATACTAAGAAATGTTATCCGCCTACTCAAGATGCAAATGCTATATTTTTTTAATGATGGGAAAAAGCATTCACTAGACTTGGAAAGAACTCGAGGGCTGTGTGTTTGTGTATGTGTGTCACTGTGTGTGTAAATACAGAGTTGCACTTATTGCCACTTGATAAGAACCACTCACTCGAAGCCACTGTAGAGGGGGGAGACAACCGGTCCACTCTTAGTGGAGAAATGGGAATTCTGTGGACCCGTTTCTTTCATGCATCTATTCAACATTTACTTGGGTTTCTACTCCAGTTCTTGGGAATTTTTAACCTATTGAAATGTAGATGTTTTATCCAATAAGTATATTCTGCAGATGGCTCCTGAGATAATGATTCTTGGGTGGCTGCTGGAATTTGCATATGTGCTTCATATGCATTCTTGAAGACTGTGGCCCTTCTCTACAGGGGGATGGCTTGCAACACACAACACTTCAGGAAGACTGTCACCACACAAAAACCACACACACAGGAGCTAGAGCGCTTGCCTTCTATCAAGTTGAAAAAAGACCTAACACAGAAATGAGGTTTTAAACCTGATACTCCATTTTTCTCTGCTTTCAGATTGGCTTGCAAAGTGCCTCATTCAAGAATATCGTAAAACCAGAATCATAGTACAGAGTGGGGGTTACTCAAGAGTCAAATAAAAGTCACCATATAAGCAAGCATAGGTAAACCAAATTCAAATGGTGCAATTACCGTTTAACAGTTTAAGTTAATAAGTGGAGACACCGTTCTGCCACAGTATTTAAGGTTAGGTTAATAATTAACTTTGGGGCCTGGAGTAGTTTAATCAAAGCTTACTATAAATCATAAAACTCCATGCAGACTAAACAGGGTATTAAAAAAACACACGAAATGCTTGCAGTCTTGACCTGTCGTAGCCATTTGGATAAGGTGCAAAAATACAATATTTTCATTCAGAATTGAGCCCAGGCATCTTTACTCCGCGTGAAAAAGCCTAAATAAAGGATGCATGTGTCTGGAACCAGCAGTCTTTCCCCTGCCATCAGAGTGGATTTGACGCCTGAGATGTATGTCTGAAGGAAGACCAACAATTACCAGGATTAGAGAAAGACAAGGCAAAGACACTCGACCTTCCTACCCGGAAAGACTTAAAAACCAGCGCTGGGGGGCATTACATAGCTTTCTTGAGACCTGCTGGCAAAACGCTGCAACTGGGTTAAACATCTTTTCAGATTTGAGTCAGAGAAAGTTGTGCATACAAGCGTAAGCGTCTGAGTGTTTGTGTGTGTGTGTGTGTGTGTGTGTGTGCGCGCGCGCGCACGCGCCTTTGCCTGTGTTTTAAACGTTTCATGGATCACAGTCAATAAGTAGCAACTTGATTTCCATCCGGTGTAAGCAGAGAGTGATCCCATGACTGGCCACCGCATTTTCAAAGCAGCCACCTTGCTCCCAAGGACCGACTCCAACGGCCACTGGGACTGCCCGCTGGATGCAGGATGGAGGCCGCTGCTGGAAGTTCTTTCCTTGGCTGTGAAGACAGCAGTTCCTCCCCCGCTCCAGGAACACCTGGCTCCCTGTTCCGTTCCTCCCTGGAAACCCGCCGCCTGGAAAAATGCGCGTGGCACCGGGGGTGGGGGTGGGAGGCTGGGGATGTTGCACTTGGAATTGGTACCTAGTCCCGGCCTGTGTCCACCCGCACCCGTGCGCCAGCCGCTGTCCAGTGGCCGCACCAGCATCCCGAATCCTGCCCCTGAACTTCCCTTCCCACCGCCTCGCCACTGCTTTCTCGACTGGACCAGCAAATGCGGCGCTGAGACCCCAACCCAGCTGACTGCTGGATGGGGGAGCCACTGGCTGTGGACCAGACATAACTCCACGCATCGTAGGCGGCCCATCCTCTTCCCTCCGGGTTCGGTTTCCCGTGGGCTGCACAGGCATAGCCCCAGTACTGTCGTACCCGCCGCCCCTGGCTTTCAGAGAAACTTTCCAGAAGCGCCGGGTAGAGTGACCCCGTGCTGGAAGAGGCGGCTCTGGGCGGAGGGGTGGCGAGGCGGCGGGGGAACGGGAAAGACGGCGGAATCCTGTTTCCTTTCCCGAAACGCGCAAGTTCGGGGCTGCTCCCTGGCTCCCCCTGTACGGCTCGGGTCGCCGGAGGAGGGAGCGGACCTCAGGATCCTGCTTTGCAGCATATACGACAGTGGGGAGCTGAGAAAAAAAAGCAGAGAATCTGGAGCAAAGACACTTGCCACCCCAGCGGAGTCGTACAGGGAGGGTGGGCACTGTCGGGCTAGCTCCCCAGCGCCCCACTGCCCTCCAGACAGCTCTCTAGGACCCAGCGAGTAGTTCAGACATCCAGACCCCGTGGCCCGAACAGAGCTCTCGTCCGGGTAGCAAGCACTGGGTCATCTTTTGCAAGTCTTTCCACCCTTACCCCTCCGGGACAACTCCTTTTAGAGGAACCTCGTAGATTTCGGGGGAGAGCGCAGCGAGGCGGTCTCTGTGCTGGAGGGGGACGCAGCCGCGACAGATGCTGTCCTCGCCTGCCAGAAGGGAGCTGCAGCGGGGGATAGAGGACCCAGGGCGGGGGGCGCCGCGCCACACCGGGAGGAGACCATTCCTGGGCACTCGTTCGAGCAAACAAAGCCCGGAACCCCTGGTGCCAGTGGCCGCGAAAGCCGGGATGTCACCAAGTGGCAAGGCGCACGGGTACCAGGGCCATTACAAGTTTCCCGCACTCCACAGAGCGCAGCCCAGACCCCGAGCGGACAACAAAAGATTCTCTTCGCTTTCCCACCGTCTCTGTGGAACCCCTTCTCAGACCACAGAACCCAAACCTGGTGCTGGGCGAAAACAGCGCTCTTCTACCCAACGTCCTCAGCCCTCGAGGGCAGAACCCTTTCCCCAGTTCGTGTACCAGGACCCGGCGCTTCTGAGGATCCCACCCTCCCGGGGCCTCTCTGCTCCCTGTTGGCCCGAAAGTGAGGACGAGCCCCGGGTCCTGCACACATATTCCCCAGCCAAGCAGCACCGCGCGGTCGCGGTCCCGGGCGGCGCCTGGCGTGTGCGCAGCGCGGGTGGGGAAGCTCGCAACGCGGAGCCCAGCGGTCTCCCCGGCACAGGGCGGAGTGGAGCGGCGGGCTGGGCTCACCACTGCTCCCCAAGGGCCGGACAGCGCTCGGAAGGCAGACACCAGACAAAATAAAACGCAGCTACCACAAAGCGGGCAGCGAGTGCCGGCCGCGGCCCCGGGACCCGATGCCCGGAGCCGAGCCGCCGGGGAGGTGGGGCGCGCCGGGGCGCCCCTGCCGTACCTTTTCGGTGCATCGACGTGCAGGCGGCCGGGGCTCGGAGCGGGCTGGTACAGCGTATATCCCATTTAGTAATCCATTATCGAGGAGATCTCTCCGGGCCGCAAGCTGCGCTCTCTCCTTTGCAAGCCTTTGTCATTCCTACATGTGTGCTTGTCTCTTTGGGGGTAACAGTCGCGGCGACTACTTTCTGGGAAGCAAACGCGCCGTGATCATCTCCAGTGACAGGCACAGAAGGGGAGAGGAAAAAAGAAAGAAAGAAAGAAAAACAACAAGGAAGGAGTAAATGTTCAAGAAACTCTTCAAATCCAAATTCCACTTGGATTCCACTCCGGTGAGTCCCTTCGGTGGTGTCTGCGCGGATTAACAAGTCATTTCAGGGTGGGGGGCGGGGTGGGGGCTGGGGCAGGGGGCGCGCTGTGGCCCCGCTCTGCGACCGCGAGCGCCGCTGCCGCGGGCGTGGCGATGCTGGCCGCTGCCGCCGCTCCTAAGCGGGCATCGCGGGCGGTGGGCCCCGCGGAGAAGCGCCGCTGCTGCGTCCCGAGCGCCTGGGCAGCCGAGTGCGCGGGGAGCGGAGTTGGCTGCAGCCTCACCCGGTGCGGCTCGCTACTCCTCTGTCACCGGAGAGGCCGCGGCTCCCGGGCGGAGCCAAGTCCCGGACTGGATTGCGCAGAGCGGACTCTCCTCCTGCAACCCCGCCTCCTTTGGCTGGCGTCTCCTCCGACCCAGAGGAGGGCTGTGGTGTTTGTGTGTGAATGTGAAAGAGCGTGGCGGAGAGAGGGAGAGCCTACGCAGTGTGGCTGCAGGTGGAGCCTTGCACCGACTGGCCCTCGAGGCTCCTTCCGCCGCGGCTCCCGGCCCACGCCGCGCTCTGGGTGGAGGTCCCGGTGGGGTTGGCTCCGGCTGGAGCGCAGCCCCAGCTCCCCCCACCCCCGCATCTGCTCTAGACGGGGGAGGGGGGAGCGGGGGGTGTGGGGGGTGGAAATCCCGGACAGCATCGCTAAGCCCTGCCAAATGAGAAAAATAAATAAAAATAGACGTAGTGCAGGAGCGAGTTACAAGAAAGGATCTGTTCATCGATTTTCTTAAATGGAAAAGTTTTAAAGGAGGAGGTTAAGTGAACGATGGGCCTTTCCAATTCTGATTACTGTATCAAGAGGTAGATCCCAGAAGTGATGGACGCTCAGCACCCGGAGGAACTGGATAAAAGCCGGTGCGTGCGGTTAAAAACACACTTCGAGGAGATGAACACGGTTACTAGTTAACGCACAAAGAACATGTTAATAAAGCATTCCAAGCAAGCGCGGAGACTGTCGTACAAAGAACGGGGTTAACAACAGCCATAATCTGTTGTCAGACTTGGGACCTGTGCGGACCGTCCTCAGAAATAAGTAAACTTCAGCAGTAGGACGCAGTCCCAGAGAGGATCCGGCCGCTTCGCGGGAGAAGTACATCGCAACTTCTTACACGGCGCTATTGTTACGGCTGCACAGAGCAGGGCAGGCACAGCCGTCCTCCGCCGCGTGAACTTGCAGTCGCCCAAACGCCCTGCAGTTCCGGGCTGGTGCCGCCGCGTCCGGCCGCACCGCGTCCCCCCCCCCCCGGGCCCCCGCCGCGCCCGCACGCCCTGCTCCCCGGTGGGCTTCGCAGACGGCGCGGGCCAGAGCCACAGCCTTTACAGAAAGTAACGCTGGGCGGCCGAGCAGTTCTCGAAGCCGTGTTTTACCAGTCGTGGGGGCGGCCGGCCGAGAGAAGCATGGGGAGGAGGACCAGGGTCTCGGGTACCCTTAGGCCGAGGGCCTGCAAAGTGGACGCATTAGAAACTATACCTGTTCCCTAATTGGGGCCGGGGCCCACGTTCTCTTTTCTGCGGGGGAAACCAAGTTACGTACAGACATCTGCTCGCTAGGAATCACGAAGAATAAATGCACATGCGACAACACCCTGGATCTACCATATATATAAAAATATATAAGAATATATACATGCGACAACATCCTGGATCTACCATATATATATATTCCACAAACCACCTGGAAAGGGTGGCGAGAACGGTGAGAGCAGTCTCTCTGCTGTTCGCCAGAGCTGCCAGCAGGGGCCGCTATCCCCACCTTTCCCAAGCAAAAGCCACAGATTCTGGGTGGCGGGGGGCGCGGCCCTGGGTGCGCGCGCAGCCCCCGCAGCACGCGAGCGGGCTCCGGGAGCGTGCACAGAACTTGGGGGGCGGGCGAGCTCCGCTGCGCGTTACGGTGGTACCGGTGGGGGCCGGCCGGCCCCGCGAGGTCTTTCTGGGATCTGGACCGGGTTGGGGGAATTGCCCTCGCGACCCGGGCTGGTTTGATCCTCAGCTGCGCTATTTAACGCCCGGATCTCGGCTGGTGACGGCCGGGCCATTGCGAATCGGGTTCTGGAGCCAGTCCATGCGCCTCCGGCTTCCTCAGTCCCAAGGTCGAGAGCAAGAGCCCCCGGGGGAGGGGGGGGGAGGGGTTCTCGCCCAGCACCTCCACGCCGCCGGGATCATTGAGGCCCCTTCTTCGCTCTCTGTCGCCGCTTTACATGCTAATTGTGTCTGGGAAAAGTTCTTTAATTGGCAGAATTAGGCAGAGCAAACGAATTGCTTCACAGGCTGAACCAAATTAATTCCGGGTTTAGTTTCTTTCCTTGGAGAAACAAACAATTAAGCTGTCTTGTTTGCTTTATGGATATATTGGAAATGCCCCACATCGAGTTTCAGGATATGTTTTTAAAGGGAAATTATTTCCATTATTAATACTTGCGTGTTTAATTTGCAGTAACGCTGAGCCAGGTAGGGAGAGATTAAATTTACCTGATTTTAAATTATGGAATACAAGAAGAAAAGAGTTTGGGTTCACTTTTCACACGGCTAAGAAATACCACCCAGAATCTCCCTGGCAATTGCTAGATCCCAAAGTTTCACCATCCAGTGAGGCGCCCATCTGTCCTGGCAAGGGGAGATTACATTTCCACCTGCCAGCCACCGGAGAGATTCTCTGGGAGCTGGAAGAAAAGCCCGCTATTGTGTCTCTCCCAAAGCCCTCAGGGGAGCACCTGTAGGGAGGCTACCCAGTGAAACCTCATGATGTCATTTCCCCTTGTCTGCACCTCAGACTGGCTACCAGAAGCCTGCCTTAACTTTTCAGTAAAACCCCTGCCTTTCCAAAGCCTTTGAAGTCTTCAGTCTACCCTGTCCCTTTAGGGAAAGAAAGCCAGTGGGGGTTAAAGAGTCCCAGAGTGTAAGAACTGGAAGGAAATTTAGACTGCTTGTAGGTAAATGGCATGAAATGTAGTGAAGCAGGCTCCACTTGGTCTCTGGAGGGGGGCTGTGCTTACATAACTTAATAGCTGGTGACCTTGGGCTAGTCACTTAACCTCTCAGAAGCCCCAGTGAGCTCCTCTCTCAAGGGGGATTCATGTCCTCACTTCCCAGGGAGCGTGTGGATTGAATGAGAGGCTGAGTATAAACTGTGAGTCTGAGTCTAGGGCCTGGTGCACCCCGCTCTGTCAAGGTTAAGTGGCGTGGCTGTCATCCCATCCTCCACGTTGGTCCCACCAGCATGTTTTCCAGCAGTCAGATGGAGGTGCGGGGGGAGGACGAGGCTTGTTTTGTGTCCATGCTGGGAGCTACCCCTCACAACTCTTCCATAAATATTCCTGTGATGACACCACCTGCTTTCCCCTCCACCCCCCACATCACATGAGAAAAGTGTGGAGGAGCATTAAAAAGGTAGACTCACATGGATCCTTTTAAAGACCCTATCTTGTTGTTTGATCAGAAACTCTGCTTTAAGACAAAAAGGCATAGTGGACTGGGGAGAAGAGGGGTCTGCTAGGCCTACCATTCACCTTCTTGTGGGTATGAGTTCCTGAGGGAGCCTTGGGGAGTACTGTGTGTACATTCACACAAGTATCAGTCGTGATCAAAAAACCTCTGGATCTGCAGTACTTTCTCCAAAATTTCCATCAATTCCTTGCCTTAAATCAGTGATTTTAAAATCCATTTGTATGTCAGAGTTACTGGTGAACTTTTATGTGGTTTTATTTTGTTTTGTTTTTTTTTTTGACAGAGATCACAAGTAGGCCGAGAGGCAGGCAGAGAGACGGGGGGGAAGTAGGCCCCCCCAACTGAACATAGAGCCCAATGCGGGGCTCCATCCCGGGACCCTGAGATCATGACCTGAGCTGAAGGCAGAAGCTTAACCTGCTGAGCCACCCAGGCACCCCTCTGGTGAACTTTTAAGTGCCGCAGGTCCCCAGGCTTGAGAGATTCTGAAGTTACCAGGCTGCGGGCAGGACCTGGACATGGTTATTCTTCTCCAAGCTCCCTTGGTGATACCAGTGTGTGGCCAGAGATGAGAACCACCATCACAATGAATCCTGGCTGTATCCTAGAGCTCTCCTGGGGCTTTCCTTTTCCCTCTTGGCCATTTATTGCGGGGTTGGGAAGTGAGGTCATTGGCTTCTCAGATCGTTTCTCCTCTCTGAAGCTCCTAGAACTTTGGAGTCTGTGTTCTACAAATACATTGATGCTGTTTGTCATCCACAGACCTCATTTTGTGCCATTTTCCAAAGACTTAGCACCAGGTGAGATGTCCCCCAGGGGTCCCACCACCTGTCACCACTCATGGAAGTGTTAGTGTCCACCTGACTGCTGACCCTCTGTTTTTCCCAGGTTCTTGCCTCCCTCGTCTACACTGTGCTTTTCCCTTGCTTACTTCTGCCCCCCACTCCAGGGCCTCATGCTGGGCCTTATTATCTGAAAAGGCTCCATTTCTTAAATCACTAATTCAGACATCCCACTCTCCAGACACATCTTCCTCTCATCACTTGTATACCCTCTGCATGCACTCTGATTTAATGAAGGCCTGCAAGCTGTGGGTTCTTCTACTCTCTGTCCATCCATCTGTCTGACCATCCCTCCATCCCTCCATTCCTCTAGCCAGCCAACCAGCCAGCCAACCAGCTGTTTGTCCGTCCGTCCATCCGTCCATCCCTCCATCCCTCTAGCCAGCCAGCCAGCTCTTCTTCTGTCCATCCAGCCAGTCATCTGTCCATCCTTCCTTCTTTCATTTGCTTCTCCATCCGGCAGAGCTTCATGATAACAATGTCTCGTGAGCAAGCACTTCAACTTCCTTGAAAACCAGACTGTTGGTCACTCCCATCTGACTGAAAACTAATTCTGGATGATATAGCTATCGGCCTACTTTGCCTTTGCGCTGGCCCCCAAAGCCTGATAGAACACAATTTCAGTTACCAACCTCAGTTGGTTGAACACTGCCTCCTTGTCATCCTCCCTTTCTCTAGTTAGGCTCTCACTGTCTCCCCTTGGCCAAATCTTTTCACCTTGGTGCCTCCTACTTCCCTGAAAACCCAAATTCTGTCACATGGGAAATTTTTGCCCCTGCACTCATTCTTTCCTACATATCTCCTTGTCCAGGGGAGGTTGTGCCTCTCTTCCAACCTAAGGTCAGGCCCTCCACCTGTTTGATCCTTTACACTTACTTAGAAATTCTTTGCTCTCTCTCCACCTCCACTGTATCTCCCCATTGGCAGGTAACCAAGCTTGAGTCTCTTCTTCTAGTCTTAGAAACAA